GAATAAATATTATTATTATGTACTTGTTTTTATAATAACACTAGTTGTCACAGAACGATATTTCGTCACTTCCTCTCAAGCAGCTCTGGTGCGCACTGCGCATGCTCACTTCGTGATACGGAAGAAAGGAAAATGTCTCTAGCGAGGTGATTTTCAAACAAGGCCTTATGTGTTTTAAATATTAACAAGGTTCCAGTTTTAGGGATTAACTCTATGTCACTCGATGTATCTTTAATGTTTATTGAATTTTACGTTGATGCTTTCTATCTTGTTTCACTTGCTTTATTTATTCGAAACGATCGTCATTAGCTAAGAGGCTAGGYGCTAACATCTCGTTAGCTAAACAACTAGCATTTCGACACCGTAGCGGCCGCAATCACTTTTCAAGTCCTTTTGCTGTACAATTTTACTTTACTGCATAAAATACTGTATTTTTCTAGTAGTATATTGATTTAATCTTTGAATAGACTGTCTTCAACATATGTAGCGCTGCTATATCTCGGTGATTTGCTAATTGTTTTCGGATAATGGTAGTAGGAGGAGTTTAGCATTCTGAGCTCGTGTTAAAAGCATGTTGTTTTATGCGTGTGTTTTTGTGTGTGAAGCTTTTTACCAGCGCCGACGCAGCTGTCACAGGACCAGTTAGAAGCCGAGGAGACGCTTCGTGCCCAGAAGTCGTACTCCACCGCTCTGGTCGCGTCCCGCAGAGAGCCACCTCCATACGGGCACAGGAAAGGCTGGGTGCCCCGCGCGCTCGAGGTAAATCCCACTGGAATGTCTTTGTATGCACCTTACAGGAATGGACGTCTTTAATACTGAAGGCGAATCTGTGTTTGTTTGTGCAGGACTTCGGAGATGGAGGAGCTTTCCCAGAGATCCAGGTGGCCCAGTTTCCTCTGGAAATGGGCAGAAAGAGGAAAACRTCCAACGCCCTGGCAGTGCAAGTAGATGCTGAAGGAAAAATCAAATATGATGCCATCGCCAGACAAGGACAGGGAAAGGAAAAGGTTTGTTTGCAAGTCACTGCTATATTATAGTCCTCAAAGACCATGTGAACGTCATCTGGAACAATTTGTGTTTAGGCATTATGAGAAAAGTAAAATTRTACATCCTTTTTAATTTTTTGTTTGTTTATTAAGGGTTTTGCGAGGCATTAAAAATATTAAACATATTGCTAAATATAAATCCTTAAATGTATTGAACATTGAAAATAAATATTGAATTGGGATCTCTGTGACAAATATCTGTTCTCAGGAAAATAGGATGAGATGAATAATTTGATATAGATTACAAACATTGCTTTTCAGGTTTTATTAGTTGTTTCTAAACATGTCTTGTCTTTTTTCTTAATTGCAGGTGATCTTTAGCAAGTACACTGACCTGCTGCCAAAAGAAGTTCTTAACGAAGATGCTCAAGAGCTGCAGCGACCTGATGAGGAAGCCATAGAAGAGGTGCAGTTTGCTACATTTGTGTGTTTCAGGAGTTAGAAGCAGGTTCCTGTAAAATTAAGTTATTCATAGGAGTTGATTTTTTTAAAATCTTTTTACTTTTGCAACAGGAACAGTAGGTCCTTCATTGTTTTTTATTTACCAAAAACCTTAACATTACTAAATAATCAGAATCAATCCTTGTAAAATAAAATTAAAAAAAAGTGTTGTTGTTTTTTACTGATACTCTTCACATTTATTGTCATTGCATGTGCACATATTTTAAGTAATCTAGGTCATTGTAATTGTGCTTCACTTACAACCTAAGTTCTTACCAGACTTTTTTCGGTCGGTCGGTCGGAGTTTTATTTATTAAGCACCTTTCACAGAAATATATTGACAAGGTGCTGTACCAATCATCAACAATGTAAAAATGGTGGAAAGATGAATAAAACATAAACAACATAATGAAACATCAAATCAAGATTAAATTCTAATTCTTTTAGAGCCTAAAGTAGTTCTGTTTCCTCCTGCTGACGCCATACAAAGTCTGTTATTACAAAACCTCTTTAGCATTACTCAGGATCAACTGCTCATGATGTTGTTTTTGTGTTTTTGAAGCTGACAGAAAAGACCCGTGCTGCCCTAAACAAACAGGTGTCTCAGAAGATTGCTGCTGCCATGCCTGTTCGAGCTGCAGACAAACAAGCCCCTGCACAATACATCAGGTGTGGATCTTAGCGGAAGCACCATCATCAGCGTTTTCAATCTGCAGACATGTTGATGTGATGTCATAAACTGAACTTGCAGCTGGTGAAAGGAACAATTTAGTTCACATCTTAGGTCGCACTGTTGTCAGGTTTTTGGCAAATAAACAATCATGTATTTTCTAAAAAGCTGTTAGCGGCTATTTAGATCTATCATTAACACCAAACATGACAGTTTTCTGGTGTGTTCTATTCATCATTTCACCTGTGATTATGTATTCAGTTTAATGAGTTATTAAAGCTTCTATCATTATTTTTTCTTAAATCTTAAACTGCAGAATGAAGAAAAAGTCAAAGTGACCCAAACTAGTGCTGCGTTTGCCTCTGTTTGTTTCTGTAGTTAGTGATCGTCCCTAATGATACATTTCTTTCTTACAGATACACCCCGTCYCAGCAGGGAGTGGCTTTTAATTCTGGAGCCAAACAGAGAGTGATCCGTATGGTGGARATGCAGAAAGACCCCATGGAGCCTCCCCGTTTCAAGTAAGTTAACATGCCTGAAAAGCTCACTTTTTTTATTTAATGTAAACATCGATAATGCTCAAAGTCTGAATAGAAATGTAATCCCTTAAAAACGGTCCCCTTTAAGCATGCTTTATACTTCAGTACGACATGAGACAGCAGATCGGTGGTTGTGTCATCTTGGACGCATTTTTCTGACCAAGTATGAACGGGCTGCAGGGCATACATTATTATAGTTTCTCCCACAGCACTCCCAATGTAGCACAGCTCATAGCTAAGCATAAAACAAAAACAGTGATAGCAAGATATATATATTTTTTCACTCAATGAATAAGTGTTGTGTTGGGTAAAGAGAGCTGGAAAKAATGGGTGGACGTCGATTGCGCGTTCACATGGACAATGGGATCAGACCAGCTGCTCATCAAATCTGCGCATTTTGCTAATTTAACAACTGGCTTCAGAGAACAGATTATTTTCAGCAAAATGACACGCAGAAAGAAACGCTGCTCAGAATCTAACACAATTTAAAAATTGACGTACACCCTGAAATCTGTAATTTTGAYACAGTTTGGAACAGATTTTTCAAGAGCAAATCTTTCCCACTAAMTTGGTCATGTGACCAGGACATAACGGTGTCCAGGAACTCCAGGGGATTAATCGTCAAGTTAATCGTTATCGGCTAAATACCACARTTAATCGTGATTTTTTTTTTCCCCCGATGTTGCCCAACCCTATTCAGCAGAGTACGCATAACGTACAACTTGAYGTATAAACCAGCCTTTAAAGTGCTACGTTGCTTGTGCACAGACTAGGGTTGGGCAATATTAGCAAAAAAGTTAATCACGATTAATTGTGGTATTTAGCTGATAACGATTAATTTGATGATTAATCCCCTGGAGTCCCTGGACACCCTTAAGTCCTGGTTATATGACCAATTTAGTGGGAAAGATTTGCTCTTCGTAAAAATCTGTTCCAAGTTGTGTCAAAGTTACAGACTTCAGGCTATGCGTCAAAATTTAAACTGTGTTGATAGCTAAATAAATTACACAACTTTTTTTATAATATTCATCATATTTGAAGCAGAGAGGAGCAGTGAGTGGACTCTGCCTGGTGGCATTAATCGTATTAATCGTCAAGTGCCAAAAAATAATTGATTGATGTTTTTTTGGACGATTAATTGCACATGATACGATTATGCCCAACCCTAGCACAGACACTGGTTCCAAAAATACAACATAGCARCTCTCGCTGATTTCAACTTTGTACAAGAGGCAAAGATACTTTGTCCATTATTTATATATCAATGGAACCAACTAATTAACCTAAATGTAACTAGTTTAATTCATGTTTCTACACCTCATTACGATTTCTTCAGCATCCGGTTTAAAAAGTCATCTGAAACAAATGATTGATTATAATGTGAATTGTTGTGTGTTTCAGAATCAACAAGAAGATCCCCCGAGGGCCTCCATCACCCCCCGCCCCTGTTATGCACTCTCCAAGCAGAAAGGTAGAGTCATGTGACAAATGTTCTGCCTTTTGTGTTTTGCTATAAAGGCCAAAATAAGGAGGTTTCTTGTCATTGATAGTTTGTCACTTTGTCTGTAGATGACAGTGAAGGAGCAGCAGGAGTGGAAGATCCCTCCATGCATTTCCAACTGGAAGAACGCAAAGGTAACGTCTTAACAGTTAATTAAAATCTTTCTCACTCATATTTGCACTCATGGTTGTTTTTGCAGCAGATTTTAATGTTTTTGTTTTATTAAATGATAACGGTGTATGTGCTTGATTTGCTGCAGGGCTACACCATTCCTCTGGACAAACGTTTAGCTGCTGATGGGAGGGGTCTGCAAACCGTCCACATCAACGAAAACTTTGCTAAGTTGGCAGAGGCGCTCTATATCGCTGATAGAAAGGTAACGTCACAGTTGCATTTTCCAGACCTCAGAAAGTTTGTGCTTCGATTTGACTGCTGGTTGTGTGTTTAGGCCAGGGAGGCTGTGGAGATGCGAGCTCAGGTAGAAAAGAAGATGGCTCAGAAAGAGAAGGAGAAGAAAGAGGAGAAGCTCAGAGAGCTGGCTCAAATGGCTCGAGACCAAAGAGCGGGGATTAAAAGCCACGGTGACAAAGGTGAGTCCTCGAGATTAAAACCTCAAAAGGAACTGGATATTTTTATGCTTTCTTAATATTCAGACACCTATAGTGAGTGTGGGTTTGTTGTATGTAAATGTGATGCTTTCTCAGTCAGTAGAGGAGGCTTTGTTGTCCGTGTTGTTGCCTGTTCCAAGTCTGGAACATGAGCTGCATACGTGATGACAGCAGTTTTCACTCTGCTAGTGTTGACAGGATCAGGAAGTGATGTCTGGCTGCCAAACTGGAGAAGAAACACCAGTGTTGCACATTTTAGAGCYTTTTTTTYYYCYYYTWYTTTTYTTTTTTTWWATTCCCTCATCATCTCCAATCTGCTTTCACCTGCATCACACTCTATATCCTCCACATATATTTTTTTCATTTGGACATCATTCTCCTACATTTGATCCCCTCACCCCCTGTCTCTCACCCAGCAGGTGGTGACGACAGCGAGGCCAGAGGGCGTGATATGATCCGCATTGACAGAAAGAAGGACCGACAGCACGACAAGAACATTTCCAGGGCTGCTCCCGATAAGAGGTGCTGGACAGACACTTTAATGCACTCACCTTCTGCGCGCACACACACACTGTTGAATCATTTATGGGAGCAGCAGTAACTGAACAAAAACAGCAGGATTCTGCAGAGCACTCAAGCAGTTCTTTGTCTGCAGGTATCTGCAGGCTTTTGTATGCGAGGTGCATGATGGGTGTGTGTTTGTGAATCTGTGTGCACTGTCAGCTTGTCTGGTGATGGTGTTGTGAGCCCCGGACAAATGTAGAAAGTGAAATTCACAGGAGAGCTCATTACAGTCACGGTTTCAGCTGTCAGAGAGGCACAGACCTTGTTATCTGAAAATTACCTTTCACTTCACTTTGAGATGGCTGTTTGCTGAAGGAAAATCAGCACCTTAAAGTCACCAAGCGCACACAAACACACAGCTGAATAGAATTTTTGCCAGAAAACATAGATTCTCAAAGAATAATGTATGTTTTATTCAGATTTTTAATTCTGTATGAAAAGAGAAATCAAAGAAACATTTTTATTGATCAACATGAACACTCTGACTTTTCTAAATCACGTAATAAAAAAGACGGCAGATGAYATAGTCGGGGAAAAATGAACCGCAATCCTCAGGAAAAAATAAGAAATTACCTTTTCGTTTGCATTACAAGAAGGAATAATGTGCACACGTTCAAATGTGCAGATAAGCTTTGACTTGAAAAGGAAAATGTTTTGATTCCTGTATACAAAGTTTAATAACTGAATATCTTAAATGTTTTTGTCACCCCAGATATTGAGCCAAATTTTAGTTTGGGGAATTCGTAAAGTTGGGATGTTTCCACAGGATTTTGAGCATTATGGAAATAAGTCTAGAATTTAAAGGATTGATGGATTAATGAAAGATGGTCATTGAAGGGAATTTTAAATATAGTTGATTTTATTTTTTATTTTTTTATAGAATCTTGACTACGTTTGAGTTATTTTACATTAATGGAACAGCTGCCTTGTCTGAAAACCCGAATAAAAGGTTTTTAAATTCCAAATCATACACCTTTGTTGTTTTTACCTGCTGACTCTAGATGGCAGACACATTTATTTGATTGTGTACAAATGTTGATGTACGTTTTCATACAAAATATTTGAGGAAGAGAATCAGATAAMGTTTTATAAAACTGGATCAATGGTGGTTTTGCGTGTTTGTCAGATCAACTGAGTTGTTAAAAGTGATCAAAGCCTTTATCAAACTGCACTGCCTGGCCAAAAAAMAAATTGCCAACAAACAAAAAGGTCACACCCTATATGTTGGACCACCTTTAGCTTTGATTACGACACGCATYCACTGGCGTTTTGATAAGCTTTTGCAATGTCACAAGATTTATTTCCATCCAGTGTTGCATTAATTTTTCACCAAGGTCTTGCTTTGATGGTAGAGTCTGACCACTGCACAAAGCCTTCTCCAGCACATCCCAAAGATWCTTAATGGACTCTGTAAATAAGGCCGTGCCATCAGGGAAGAAACAATCATTGATGGAATAACCTGGTCATTCAGTATTTTCAGGTAGTCAGCTGACCTCATTCTTTGAGCACAAACTGTTGCTGAACCTAGACCTGACCAACTGCAGCAACCCCACATCATAGACCTTAGTTAAATCCAGGCGGAGACTTTGTTTTGGCCAGGCAGTGTTATTTGCTTGAATTTAGTTACTTTGTTTTATTAGCAATCTGATGTCCTTTCTCATTCCGTGTTTGAATTATTTTTGTCCCAGGTCAAAGTTACAGAGGGATCAGGACAGAGACATCAGTGAGCTCATTGCTTTGGGCAAACCCAACCCTCGTTCCACCAGCGAAGCTCAGTACGACCAGCGGCTCTTCAATCAGAGCAAGGTTCCAACATACTCATACCTGTTTTGTTATTAATTTGATTGACATTAAACATATTTGAATGTATGGAAAATATGATAAAAAGGGTTTTAAAACATTTAGGTGATACTTTTCCTTGTGAAACTAAAGAAAATCCAGCCTTAGCAGCAGCTGTTCCAGTGCTTGGTACACTAATACTTGAATAAATTGTCCTTGTTTTTTAGGGTATGGACAGTGGTTTTGCTGGTGGTGAAGATGACACGTACAACGTGTACGATAAGCCGTTCAACAGTGGCAGAGACATGGCCTCCAACATCTACAGGCCCAGCAAGAACATCGACAAAGATGCCTACACAGATGACTTYGACTCACTTATGAAGAACAACAGGTACTGTGGATTATTTATATCAGCTAAATGACTCATTTAGACATTTATATCTGCGTATAGCTGCTTTCTTCTTTATTTAATTTACTAACAAGGAGAAGTATGAGGGGCTTTTATAAGTTAAGATACAAATACTGTATGTGTACAACAAATTAGAGCCTTTTTTCCTTCTCAGTGAGTTCAGGTAAATGTCATTTAAACTGCTAATGATCAACCTGTTCAGGTTCGCTCCTGACAAAGAGTTCTCTGGTGCCGAGCACGGGCAGAGGAGAGAAGGACCGGTTCAGTTTGAGGAGGATCCCTTCGGTCTGGACAAGTTCTTGGAGCAGGCCAAGCAGCACGGCGGCTCCAAGAGGCCGTCCACCAGCACCCGCTCCAAGGACGACTACCACGACAAGAAGCGCAGGAAGGAGTGAGAACAGCTCGAAGCACAAACTGACAGCTGGTGGCTGTTTTGGAAGAAGAGTGGGAYGTTGCATAAACTTGTCTCACAAAACTGTACATGTGTTGATCTAAAAAAAAAAGTGTGTAAAATTGTCCTTTTTTAAACCTCTTTTTGGTTCTTTAATCTGTTGATCATTTCTGAAAAGTTAAATACAACTTGGTCAAAATGATCCTTGTTTAAGCTCAGACTAATGCAGATACATCCTGTATTTTTGTGCTCTAGAACTGAAGTAGTATATTTTGTACATATATAAAAGTAGCCCCAACAGGAAACTTCACAGGAACATTTACTGCTAAATATTTGCTTTTTTATTTCTCATTTATTTTTAGCTTTTATTTAAGCTTCTGATGTGTTTGTTGAGAACAGTCCAGCARATTTAAACAATCCGGAGGAAGATATTCAGTCAAGCTTTATAAATCCTGTACATTGCTACTAATGAAATAAATTTCGTAGTGCTAAAATATAAAGACCATAAAAAATAGTCTTTATTTGTAAATCTCAACAATTGACAAAGTTTCTCATTTTGATTGCATTTCATTCAGAACCTTTAGAACACAATGAAAAGCCCATTAGTGTGTAATTATTTTTAATTTTCTCAGTAAATTCCTTTTATTTGAATCATTTCCTGAGTTGTACAGCCCATTAACCGATGATTAAATGCCAGAGATGCGTTCATAGAAGCCATCAATTTTAGTGTGCTTTTCTTGTTTTTGTTTAGGAAAAATTGCCTCTGCAATTTCAATTTATGTCACGATTAGACCAAGACTGGTTCGATTAATTACAATTTAATTGCGATTTATTGCAGCCTGACAGTTTTATTTTCCCCRTGCTTGGAAAGTAATCATGGTGGCATTATACAGTCCAGCAGCCCCAAGAACTGGAGCCAAGTCATCTTTCAGTCCTGCCTCAGTACAGCTCAGACACTTKGTGTATGTTCAAGATTTACGGGTTCTTCTGGGCCGCTTTTCTGCACTCAACTGCAGTGTTTTATTGCCTTTTTTCCCACCAGCATCTGAGAAATAACCTCAAACTTTGTCATCACTAGCATGTGCAACATGTAGCGGCAGCAGTAGACTTTAGACACATGATGTGTTCAGGTGCTGCGCTGAATTCAGAGACACTTAATGCCTTCAAACGCTCTCAGTGTGTTTTGAGCAGCCACAACTTTCACACCCACTAACAGTAAGGTTCATCATTTAGCATCATTTGTAATAACATCTAAAAAAGGTTGAGTAGGTCCTCTGGACATCTTTTAGATTTTTCTTCCTGGATTGTTGAGGTGCATCAGGACATGTGCTCTTACTATAACTGGTMTTAAAAGATCTTCAAATGAGAAGAATACGAAGCCAGATGATCAACAGAAAAAAGAAAATTAGTTTGTAGAATTAGTCAATTAAAAGTCTTTTTAAATTCATTGTTGATGGACACTAACTTTATGAGCTTTTCATTAAAATACAAAAAAATATTCACACGTGGACTGTGAAGAAAATTGTTGGTACCCTTTGTTTAATGAAAGAAAACCCCTCAATGGTCACAGAAATAACTTGAATCTGACAAAAGTAATAAAAAATTCTATGAAAATGAACATGAATAAAAAAAATAATTTTTATTACTTTTGTCAGATTCTTGTTATTTCTGTGACCATTGTAGGTTTGTCTTTCATTATTAAACAAGGGTGCCAACAATTTTTTCCAAGTGTGTATATGTATTTTGCTAACTGACCAACAGAGTTGATTTGGACACTTTACGCTAACGTTTGATACATCTCGTTTGTACGTGTGTGTAGGTGTGTATACCTGGTTTTTGTTACCTTTTTCAAGACATTACGTACACCTACTTTGTCAGGACCAGTGGTCCTTATGGAGATCAAAGCCTCGTCTTAATATGGTGCAACACCATTTAATGGGTTAGGTGACCACTGGGTGACCTAAATCTGGTCTGCCAATGTCTTCATTAAAACCAAAATTTGTTTCAAAACAGACAAATAAGCTAAACGGTTAAAGATATACTTGTTCAGAGATTCCCAACTTATTTTCCTCAGAGCCCTGTTTCATTCACACACAAGTCAAGCTGTTAACACACATTTGTCAGTACGCACACCATCTCCTACCATCAGGACACATTCAACTTTTATTTCTATCAAAATTAAGAAGTAATAAAATGAATAGTTGCAAATTTTTATTTGGAAAAAGCAAAAATATCGAAGAACTGAGTTGTGCAGAGTTTTACTTAGTCAAATTATTTTATTTTATTATTTATTTAAAAACAGGGACAATGTACAACATACATTAATCTTAAAGGAAAGATGCATTGAAACAGGTTATAACACTAGTGGTAATTTCCACCTGTAGTCCCCAAAATAGCTGATATTTWAAAAAAAACAGTAGAAAAAAAAAACCCAGCCAAATTTCATTTAACAAATGTAATACATAATTAAAACATCAACAGATATATAATCCAACCGAATGCGAACACATCCCCTATAAAATTATTTATAACATCAACACTTAAGAATTTCCTATAGACCATCCTCTCACAAAAGAAAAACTGAGACAATTCATATAAAATTTATTAGGAAACACCTTTTGACTTGTTTGATTGACTTTTACAACAAATAAATTAATATTTTTACAGCCTSTGGGCAGATGAGGCTATGGGCCTCCCTGTGCTCTTTGGGGGCCCCAAGGTTGGTAACCATTGTTTTATATAATGCCCTGTTTCTCCATCTGTTATCAGGGTACACTAMAATCAAGATGGCTCACTGAGCAATTTAGTTAAATAGTCCTGGACAAAGGTGTGAATGGGTTTGGTTAGTACTGGTAATAGATAGGTTTAGGGTCAGCCTACAGAACTGAACGGTCCTATAAAAAGGATATAAATATCTTTTGTGTATTTGAGATTATTCTCAGCTACAACCACACCCAACATATGTGAAGCTGTTGGAATTCTGTACCTTTTTTGTGTTTTTCCAAGGTCAATTGGCTGTGGTTGCCATCTTGGATTACATTTAATTAAATTGCCCAGGGGTTCATGAGATGTTTTGCCAGCAATCMCAAATACAAAAAGACAAAAACATTATTGCCCACACTTTGGCAATAAAAGGAAAAATTCTTGCTACAGGAAATATGTATAATTTAAAAAAAAAAATCAATAGTCAGCATAATCGGCACATGATTTCCATTTTAGCAGGTTTCCTATCTCCAAACTACAGAGGACGTTCCTCCGTCAGCCAGAGTTTGTGTTCGGCCAGTTACTGAACCCACTAAAGACAGCCTGATAATAGGTCTCCACTCAGCTYGTCTGCTTGTATAAGTGTGTGCAGAGGAAGATGAATGGGATTCCTTATTCATGGAGGTAAAAGGAAATTGATTGTTTGGCATAGCCTTTGTCTGCTGCTCAGTGGAAATGGTGGACATATTGTCCGGGCCATAATGGAATCCTCAGGTCAACAGCCGTGATGGACAGCTCCTTATCTGCACTCCGCCAGCAAACAAACCCCACAAGTATTAAAACACCCTGAGTTGCTGCTGCACATACGTATTTCCACACGCTGGACCTGAAGGAGGACATTTTGTGATTCCTTGTGCGACCTCCCTAAAAGCACTCAAGCAGTAAAAGTTTGATGATGTATTTCCCAATTGACCAAAARCAGATTCTTTCTCTCTCGGATCTTTGCTTGTGTTTTCAGACATCAAAAACTGCATGAAGAGAGGCATTTACTAAGAAGTTACCACACCAGATTTTAGGCCATTCTATGGAGGAAGCTCGTTTCGGCCGGTGGAATCCAAGATCTGGTTCTTTCGGTCATGATCCACGCCTCATRGCCATAGGTGAGGGTTGGAACGTATAGAGAACAGTAAATTGAAAGCTTCGCCTTACGACTCAGCTCTGTCTTCACCATGACAGACTGAAGCAACACCCTCATTACTGAGGGCRAGGCCCCAATCCGTCTCCCGCTCCATCTCTCGTGAACAAACTCCACCACTTGAGGCAGAGACTCTCCACCAACCCGGAGGGAGTTCCCTTTTATGGCTAGATTCATTTTCCCTGCTGTGTTGGCTGCATCAAATAATAGGGTAATAAAATATATCCTTGTTTTTTTTCTGTGACAGATTGTTTTATGAAAAATGTAGGTTTCTTTTAACTTAATTCAGAATTTAAAGAGTGGCCCACGGTATTCTTTTGCAGAGTGAGATTTACCCTAAAACACCGTCTTCTCATTAGACTCTCCTTGGGCCAGCAGTGTCTTCATTCTCGCTCACTGTGGGTAAATTTTGTGTTTGTGAGTGGAAACAAAATAACGAAGCCACTGTGTGTAAATTGAATCTGTCAAACATGCACCCACCCCTCGCAGCCCACACCTGAGCAGCCTGTCTTGCCGCTGTCACTCAATCACAYTCTTATCATTAGTTCCTCTCCTGTGCATATGCAGACTGCAACCCGTTCATCATTATTCCAGCAGACTGGAGCTGGACAGAGTCTACTGCTCTCTGTGAAATAGTCTGCCTGTCAGTCAGTCTGTCTGTCTGTCATGCCTGCCTGAGCTGAAAACCTGGATCGAAAGAGAGTGAGGACTCTGCCTTTTTCTCTTTGTGCTTCCCAATGCGGGTAATCTTTCACAGAGGGGAGATTTGGACAGGTGGAACAGTCTCTAATGGTTGTGTCAGTAAGAATAGAGCCCACCTGCTTCACGCTGGCACTGGGGTTTGACTGGCCACAGAGGGCTGAGASGCTTTAGGATTTTTGTGTCAGGAACTCGTGGATGCCTCAGCCAAGGTCTTTATTTGAGTAAGAAGCCCCAGAGAAAGCATCTCGTGTAAAAATATAGTCGGAGAGTGGATTAGACCAGTGGTTCCCAAAGCTGGTGTCGAAACATCAAGGTGGGGTCCTGAAAAGATTTTCTGAATTAATTACACTAAAAATTTACAACTATCAATAATTTCTTGCCTTTGTTGTCCCAAATGAGTAATCTTAATGTACTTAAAATGGACAAAAATAGAGTAATAAATATTGTTATAATGCTCTTGTTTGTTTGACGTGAAACTAATGTTCATCAACCAACAACAGCTGGGGTCACAGGTCTCTGCTGCTGGCATTTTGTGGGTCAAAAGCTGAAAAGTTTGGGAACCACTGGGTTAGAATACAATAAACCCTCCCATGATGGTTTATTTGTTATGACCTGGAATTTAAATGGAATTTTAACTCTAACCCTGACATTTTTTTACACAAAATAACTGCCATTTTGACAATGCAATGTGTTCTTTATTGTTAAACAAATGTAATRTTCATCATAACATACTGCTCCAGTTCTGCTATCCCATTCTTCAAATCCATAATCTTTTTCCTCTTTCTCCGCGTTTTATTTTTTCAACACTATATAGTCGTAAACCCGTCTGTCAAACTAGAATGGACCTCTCTGGTAGCTGGAGKGGGGCGTGGTATGAAGCGCCTCATTTGGATTTAAAAAGACAGCACCAAA